TAAAATACCTTAGGACTAAGTGATGAGAAAAAATATATTTCTTTGCTCCATTTTTTTAAAATTTTTTTGAACATTCAGAGGACCAGAATTTACACAATCAAAAGTAACAATTCAAGACTTAGCAACATAAGGTTATTTTTTGATAAAATCAATCTATAATTCTTTAATTCAATTTTAGATTTTCCCGCCGATTGATTGGAGTGAAGTGCTCAGTCTCAGGTTGACATGTCTGTCGGCTCCTCCTTGTGCAGACGATTCGACGGTGTCAGGTCATGTAACAAGAAGTTAATTGGTGGATGATGACTAGAAGTGGAATCCAGGATGACCAGACATCGTCGAAGCATCTGCACAAGAAGCCGACAGACATGTCAACTTGAGATCAAGCACTTCGGTCCAATCAATCGATGGGAAAATCTAAAATTCAATTAAATAATTAATATGACCCGTTGCACAAGATGTGGCTCTCGTGGCCCAAGTGGTCTAGTGTATAACGATTTGGTGTTTGAAACTATCGGCACCGGATTCCAGCCTCAGTGGGAACACCATCAGTGACTCACTACAGAATGCAGGCACATTCGGTTGACGAGTCCCAAATCGGACGAAACGCGCATCCAACAATTAACAATCTTTAATTCAGTTAATATTGCCAATTTCAAGAGGAATACATGACTAAACACACAGAATCCCACTAAAACACACGTTCATCACGCAGAAGACTAACAACCACATCACCATAGTAATTTGTGAGTATGATGTAGTAAAATAACCTGAATGCTACCCACTCTGTGGTTTAAATATACGCACACACACACATACAAATATGTGTGAGCAAAGAAAATACTCAAAACTATGTGTGGCGTATTGATATCACCAACATTTAACCGTTTCCTTCAAAAACCAGCCTACTAGGAAATAGTGAATAAAATTGTGAACATGTCCACTTGTAGACAACAAAGATAAATACAAACTATCAAATCCCAAATACTCTGAAACCTAATAACCAAACAGTCTCATGAATATTCCTCTGACTGACTAAGATTTAACGCGGAACTTTGCAGAAAGTGCAGCAGTCAACGTTCCTTTACTCCATGCAGTATACAAAGGAAGATCAAAGAGAGGAGAAGAACTTCAGAGAGCAGAAATGCACGGCAGAAAGAACAGTAAGATTTGATAGTGTGAAATATTCCCATATCATGAATTAAAAGTCACTCAAAACGAAGAATATTCTTTTCAATAATTTCTCCACTTCAGGTTCTTACAATTATAAAATCTAATAATCTTCCCCTTAACCCTCTTGGTGTTCGTCATAATTTATACCCTTCATACAAACATTCTCTCAGTACTATCGAATTTCCCATTTATACCATCCGGACTTATTATTAGTGATATTACCTCTTTTCTCAATAAATGCCTCCATCTGTTTCATTTCACATATTCGTTATTTCATTATGAACCTATCATTGCAGTCTTACTATCTCCTCTTTAATATATACCACTTCGTACTAGCCACTCACCTGACACCTTTTATAACCTTGAACTGACTTGTCAATTTTCCTACCCCACACTCTACAAATCTATTATGATTAATCACCACCATTGTCTCCCATTTCACAATATTTTGTAGTTGATTTCAGCCTAGCACGACGTTTGTCACACAAATACGACTATTTATTTTGACACCCCATAACTAATCTGCTATTCTACGTAAAAAATGTATCCGCCGCATAATTAACTGGCCATCATTGTAACGACAACAAATATTATAATTGTTTTATAATTGTAAGAACCTGAAGAGGAGAAATTATTGAAAAGAATATTCTTCGTTCAGAGAAAGAATAGTAACCTAGAGAAGAAACATAAGCGTCATAAGGAGTAAATGCATCTGAGCCGTTGAGTACAACTTTGACTCGTGTCACCGACAGTCTCTCTAGCCAGGAGAAGTTTACAGAACCCCTTCCCCTTACATAGCTCAAAAACAAAGCATTGATCAGAGACTTCATGGATTGATACCAGGTTTTGACATGACCATTCCTAACTTTTTCTCAACCTAGTGCTATGTCAGCTAGCATTGTTGGGTAAGGAAAGTGGTGATGGCTTATCATGCATGGCACTTGTACTAGTCATCTCACAACCTGATCGATCAACTGACTTCCCTTGCTTACCTAACACTCTACACATAACCTCAGCATTACTCACGGGAGATACAGCTCAAACATCAGTGGTCGAAGACAATTAGAATTTCATCGATAACATCTATCGCATCGTTGTGAATGAATATGATCCATTGTGAATGAAAGCATTCAGTCAATAAGTACACACTCATTATAATGAAGGTTTTTGTATTTCCCAATGAATGAAAAACAAAACGATATTATTGTTTTTACTGACGTTTCGCTATTTAATGCTGCTGCTAATAGCTTTATCAAAGTAGTATTATTAAGCCAGAATTTACAAAATCTCAGCTTATATGTAACAACTTAATCATCGTTCCTCAGCACCGGCTCATTTTTGTGTTGTCAAGTTGGCCAATTGGTAAAGATAACAGAACCAGGTGTAGATTGTTGGATTTGATAAGTGTATAAAATTATAAAAGCAGCGTGTTGATTTTGTCATTTCATGGTGTGTGTTGTAAACAGGTCAAATTCTGTTTTAGTCTATCATTCCTATTCACTTCAGACAATGTAGATTCCATTTGATATGATGTGCTTCTGATGATATAAGACTTTCTTTACGATTTCTGAAATTTTTATAGATTATTTCAATATTGTCAAAATCAATTTTATGGCGTGATTCTATAGTGTGTAGACCACTAATGGCTGGCCGATGACCTTTCAAGCTTTTCTAGTTCACTAACTGGATTTCTCGGTGGTCGAATAGATGCTCTATAGTGTTCATTTCCTCTAATTACCTTGATTTCTCTCTGGCGATGTTTTTCCGATGTATATCGCATCACATTCCAAGAAAGCATTTCAATTTATAGACACAATTAGATGGAAAATCTTTATGGATTTGGTCTTTTATATGGACAAGGTTACTTCGCAGTGTGTCTGATGTGTCTGAGATTCTGTAAATTATGATTTAATAATACTTTGATAAAGCTCTCAGCATTAAATAGCGAAACGTCAGTAAAAACAACAATATCATTTTGTTTTTCACTCATTGAGAAATACAAAAAAACCTTTATTATAATGAACATCATATACTCAATAATCAAATTTTTTCAAACTGTTAAAAGTGAACTTGGTTTGGACATATGTAAAATAAGTACACACATCTGCTACAAAATACTCAGTACTTTCAAATACTTCTTAACCAATAATACTACTAGTATAAAATGATGCATCATCATTCTATTTCACAGGTTCTCATCAGCTGCGGCTGCTGCAAACTACCTGAAATTACGGTGGTTATAAATAAAGACATTTCATACTTTAATGTTTAAAAGGTAATCGAGAAAACAATAGAAGATGAACGCACCCGGAATATAAGCATTACAATTGGCTTTATAGTTTAAGTTAACATCACTTTATATACTACAAAACTATGAAAAAAGAGAGAGGGCGGGGGTGACAGAAGACAGAAAACCGAAAAATCTAATAAACAGTGTTAGCTTGTACGTCAACCTAGCAATTCAAGAAGGTCAAAGTTCATCAAATTGAAAACTTGCTTATTGAGCTGAGCTCACTCATGTGTATGACTAATCAGTGTATTGAATGTAATGCGGTTACCAAGGCAGTGAGAGATTGACTACACTCTCTTTCTGTGTGCATAAGTTTGGTCTGAGATGTTGGATTGCAATCGCTTCAGCATGTTGACGTACAAGCTATTAGATTTTTCGGTTTTCTGTCTTCTCTCACCCCCGCCCTCTCTTTTTTTTCATACTTTGAAAGCATATAAATTGAGGGTGACTTTAACCACAAATTGTGGATGCGTTCATCTTATAATGTTTCCTTTATTACCTTTCAAACATTGAAGTATGAAATGTCATTATTTATAACCATTGTAACTTCATGTAGTTTGCAGCAGCTGATGAGAACCTGTGAAATAGAATGATGATATCACATTTGATACTGCAAATCTGGTCTTTCTTTCTTTCTCTATCGAAATTCATAAAGGGAACCAAATGTATGAAATACTACTAGTGATAGAGATGAGTTATAATACAGTATCAGACCGACAAACTGGTCGAAGAAGCAGCAAAGACAGGACTCCAGGTGAACATAGACAAGACGGAGGTTATGAAAATAACCAACCAACAACAACAACACCAGCAGCAGCAACATCCAACGCCAATCACCATCAACGGGAAGGATTTGAAAGAGGTTACTTCATTCACTTATCTAGGGAGCATTGTCTCAACTACAGGAGGAACGGACGAGGATATCAAATCGAGAATCGGGAAGGCGAGAAACACATTCATCAACCTGAAACCAATCTGGAAATCTTCGTCACTCAGCCTGCATCAACAACAAAATTCGGATTTTCAATACAAACGTCAAGTCAGTCACTTCTTCTATACGGATCAGAAACTTAGCGGCGGGTCACAAAGAATATTTCCAACAGCCTGTTGCAGACCTTCATCAACAACTGTCTTTGCTCTATACTCAAGATCAGATGGCCGGAAAGAATCACCAACAAGAAACTATGGGAACAAACAAAACAAGAACCAATCGCCCAACAAATATGCAGGAGGCCGGTGGGTGACATCGCGAGTCAGGCCAGTGCTCGAGTGGAACCCGAAAGGGAAGCGGCGAGTGGGATGTCCAAGGGTGACATGGAGGAGATCGTGTGAAGAGGAATTGAAACAGTATGGACTAACATGGATGCAGGTGAAAAGTACATCAGAAGACAGAAGCAAGTGGAGACGTGCAGTTGAAGCCCTATGTTCCACTAGGAACCCAAGGGAACAATAATATATAATAATAATCAGACTGAATTGTCTCTACTGTTCAGTTATTTATACTTCAAGAAAAAAACAACAACACATGAGCAGAACTTACCGGTGATGTAACCATATTGACATTATTACTATTATTGGAGTGACCACTTGAAGAAGAAGACGTAGAAGAGGAAGGGTTCGATAACGCTTGATTATTAACAACAGGTTTATTATTCGTAGTATCTGACGATGTTAACTCCTTCTTAGGAGGTATAACTTCTTTACGAACACCATTGGCTGTATCGATAACACGCTGAATATGGATGGCAGACAATAAAAAGAGACAGAGAGAGAGAGTAAATAGTCTTAAAAATACATTCAATAAAAAGAAAACAGAAATATCAATACACAATACAAGTTCTTCCGTTTTAACCTTATTGTTGAGTAAAGAAAGCTTTAACTGTAACACTATCTGATACAGTCATTAGTGAGTGAGATTTACGCTATTCACAGTTAATTTATTTTATTTTCAAGTGTTAGTTTGCGAGGATTTCATTGGTCACGGTTGGTGTCAATGGACGTGAACATTGAACGTTTGTTTATTGGAACTGGCAGCCATTGGTGGGCAAATCGAAGGCGCGAATAGTACGATCGTGTGCAAGTTGGAAGAAGGTGGAAAGAATACGAATAAAAACTTTGTATTTTGTTTCGCTTTAATTGCCAAACAATATAATTTCGTTCAAGGAATACTGGTGTTTTGGATTTAAAGTTGAGATACATACATAGTATTTATCGGTTCAAAACGAAAACGTCTTCATTACAATAGGAACTTAGGGCTAAGTGCCTTGACAGTTGGAGAACCATTGAAAGACCTGGGAGTACTGGACAGCTGTTTCGTCCTAGTTTGGGGCTCTTCATCAGTACGCATCCACCGGCGTTGTGATGCTCACTGGCCCTATTTAGGTAGACAGTTACCTGGGTTCCAGTGAGAAGTTGTGACCAGCGGGGTACACAGAAGGTTGGGTGTGAGGACAAATACTCTCCAGAAATGAGATTGGCTGGTGCCAGTTGAGCTAAAATCACAAATTGGTAGGAGTTAGAATTCATGAGATGGTCATTGAGTTGAGTTTCAGTGGCTGAATGGTCCACGAGCTCGCCTTGTAACCAAAAGGCCCTGGGTTCGAACCCTGGCGGTGGGTGCGTAGTACCAGTACTCCCTGGTTTTCAATGGTTCTATAACTGACACCAATCCGTGATCAAACTTGAGACAAATCGAATCTCTACAAACAAGCTCTAATACAATAGTCTGATAATGCCTAACACACGAAGAATTTTAATCTCTTCTAAATATAAAATAAGACGTTAGTAGTCCAACTCGGCGACTAGATAGAGGTATAGAAATGATGAGTTATACTCATCGAAAATAAATCTTAGTACGTGAGATATATACAAATATTAAGGTGGAATTTAGGCTCTGGTGTTCTCAACTGAGACCCAACCCCGACACCCATCACTCACTGGAACTCTGCCGCCATAAATGACCTGCTACGATCAACGGGGAGGGGGGTTGGCTATGGTGTTCCTCTTGTAAAGTTCTCTTGAGGCTGCGCATCCATAGCCTCGGTCGGATAAGTCCTATCCACTGCCTTCATGGGCTCCAGGTGTTCCTCACGAAAGGGACAGGGTGAATGCAAACATCTGAGCACTTACAATCGGACCGACTGGCGTACCTGTTGGTCTACCTAGAAAAAGTGGAAAATCCTGATTCCAAAACTATGGTGTACGCGGACTCCTGAATCCGAAGGGATCGAATGGCTTATGAATCTGTTTTGGTCACAGTAAACCATCGAAACGCAGCTCCTGGTATTCGCTTCACCGACTTGTGGATCAGACTCCAAGTCAAAGGCTCGAAGGATGACCCCTTAGGGCAACTACCTGCTTCGGTCTGGGGAGTATCTCTCTTGATGTTAATAATATACGAAGTTTCTATTTTGATAATGACAGTACTGATACACTAGGAATCCACCTGACGAATCTGTGCACAGGGTGAAGAGTGAATCTTGAATTCAACCTCTTTTTTATTCCTTTACTTTCTTAGTTCAACATAGAGCTTCAAGCCAGAGACTTGAAGTATCGGTAGCAGTCGGATTTATTTTTACGGGATGGGGTTGCTAGCCGCCTCATGCCCAACCTTCCCTCTTTACCAGTCTTATCACTGGGTTAACGAGGTAAAGGAATGAGCCAACAAGGGATCGAAACCCGGACCACAAGCGTAATCAGCGAGCATTCTGCCGCTGTACCACCTCTAAGTACCTCAAACCAATTGATTTCATGTTCATTTCAAGGCATACTGGAAGCCTCCGTACCAGGAACCAATAAACCAAGCAATTAAGAATGAACATCTCGTTTTTTGTGTAAAATAGTAATGTGTTTCTTTTCTCAGCATTCCACAAATTGAATTAACACAGAAATAGCAACTAGTTAGATAACAGAATTTTTCCCAAAGTAAGCAGCAGTTAAATAAGAGATTAGAATTCCTATCTCATCACCAATCTGGTTGTTCAAATGAAACTAACCAAGGAAATAAAAATTGACAAATGGGGGCGGGAGGGGGAATTCTTTTCCAAACTACTCCTTTTAGTCCAAAATAAATCACAAAAGGAAAACAAATACTTAGCACACACACATATAAATATACAAACGTATTAATACTACCTCATTATCAGTAGTACTACGTTCAGAAGTACTATTCGGTGTCTTCTCCATACTTGAACTATATTCTTGCATAATTTCATAGACACAAGATGATATTGACGGTGCTTGAGTATCAGATGTGATCACGTCTGTAATCAGCTGATTGACTACTTCATGCATAACCTCATTCTTCAATGCCTAATCAACAGAGACAGGTGTACGTACATTGTGAGGGTGGAGGGGGGAAATAAAGGGGACAAGTAAAATGTGGATGTTAGACAAAGAAGCATAAAAAGTGAATTCAAGAAATAAATTAGCTGAAGCAATTAGAGCAAATTTTTGTTGATAAAAACAAAACGATAGCTGCTAGAATTTCAAGCACATTTAAATGTTGGGTTTTGACCGGTTTGTTTTATTTGATTTTTAGAGCTTTGTTTGCATGAAAAAAACTTACCACTGGCTGCAGATTGTCGCTAGAAAGAAGGAGCTGCATAGTTGGCTTGCTTGTCTTTCGAAAGACACACCATACTGCTGTTATATCCGTATTTGCAAGCTAGTACGACTTTGCCCTGAGACCTGCAACATTGTGTGACCGACTTATACTATAACGGCGTAACTGCTTTAGTTAACAACTCTATCTAAATGAACATTCTGACATGGCACGACCTGTAGGAACATTCACTGTAGCAAGCATAGCTCGGTGGATCATTCAGAGATGCATAGCCGACCGACTACATCAAGGTAGCAGGCAACAGTTGGGGTGGAGAACCACTGAAAACCAATGAGTACTGTACATTGGTTTCGCTTTAGATGGATGATCAACGGGTTGGCTTTATAACCTGATCATCCTGCGTTCAATCCTTGATGAGGTCATAAGTGTGCACTGTTGAAGAGTTCCAAACTCGGATGAAACAGTACGCTAAATGATATTCGTCCGTGATGAAATCTACGTTGAAAATAACTTGCAATAACTTATTAGTTATAAATTTTCTTAAGAAGGCCATAAACTATAAATAGTGACAAGGCGTTGGTCAAACACTGAGGTGTAATTGTTACTATTCCCTTCGGTTCCCAATAGAACATAGGGCTTCAACAACATATCTTCATTTTCTTCTATTTTCTGCCATCCTTTTCAGCTGGGTCCTCGATTGCCCGTAATCTCTCATCTCTTCCTCACACGATCTCTTCACTGTTACCCTGGGACGACCAACTCGTCGCTTCCCAATGGGATCCCACTCGAGCGATGGACTACACTGCGCGCGATGTCATACGACGGTTTCCTAAATGTGTGCTCGATCCACCGCCATTTTATCCTAGATATTTGTCGGGTGACCGGCTCTTGGTTCGTTTGTTCCTAGACAGAGTTTCTTGTTACTAATTCTTTCTGGCCTGCTATTTGATCTTCAATATGGAGCCAGCGAAGGGGGGCGGATGTTGATAAAAGTCTGCAAACTGTTGGAAATCCTTTTCGTGACACGCAGTGCAAGCTTCTGACCCATATAGAAGGACCGACTTGATATTGGTGGTGAAAATCCAAATCTTGTTGCCTATGCTGAGTGCAGTAGATTTCCAAACTGGTTTCAGGTTGATAAGGGCGTATCTTGCCTTTCCGATTCTGGCTGGCTTTGACATATTCATCCGTTCTGCCTGGCTGTGGTTGAAACGATGCTTCCTAGATAAGTGTAGGAGGTAACCTCTGTTAAATCTCTCCCGTTGATGGTGATTGCTGCTGGTTGTTGTTGTTGCTGTTGCTGCGGTTCATTGGTTATCTTCATCACCTCCATCTTCTCTATGTTCCCCCGGAGTCCTGTCTTAGCTGGCAGTTTCTCCTGCCATTTTGTTGAGTTTCGCCTGTAAGTCTTCGAGTTTGTGTGACATTATAGGTGTAATTAACCTCATATTATCCGAGTTCTTGAAGACTATTTTTTCTGAAGTGTCTTTACTCGACACTGAAGATCAGATGGTTAAAGAAGAGACAAGCAACAAGGAACTTTAGCAGTGCAGCGAACCAACCAACAAATCTATCCGTCCAACCATTATGCAGAGGGGAATGTAGATAGATTAGAAACGCATTGAGAAGACTATTAAATAAAGTCGCGCCAAACAGGCTATCGAGTAGAACCCGAAAGGAAGCAGAAGGCAGAGTGCAATGGTGATGTGCTTCTGAAAAGCCGCATGTTCCACTCGAAATCCAGTGCTAAGTGAATCCTATCCGTCAATTTTGTAAAGTAGTTAAACAAAGCTGGAAGGACACGCCATCGAGAAGCATTTCAAGGTGATGTCTATTATATTTTGAGTCATTTATTAGGAAAACATGAGTCTGCATATATTTAAACAAATTAAGCTCTCCCACCGCCCCCGAGTCATTTCATATGGTCCTAAATCATGTAGAATCTATCTCAATCGCAAAAAAAATTGAAGATTACTGAAACCCAAGTGAAATTCAAAAATATCGATTGCAAAACAAAAATCACAGAGATGTGAAACCAACCCTTCAACCTTAATTCATAAAATATTATACACAATCATAACAAAAATAATTGGCGCTTGAATCATAACAACAGTGTTTATCAAGTGGATGATGCATAAGCTGATATGGGGCGGCTGTGTGAATATACATAAATTTGGCATATACATACATTTTAATAAACACCCTCTGGAATTCCAACCGGTTTCAATCGATTTATCTGACAGCTCATTACTCAAAAAGAGTATCAATAAGTTCCATCAACAATGCAGATACGCCTTGCTGACGAGTGCCACTAACAAGCACGAAACGTAGGAGACGCAGCGATTCCTGCTGATTGCCTCAAAACATCTAACACCATGATGGCTAGCTAACATATACCATGTTTCAAGGAACACTGTAATGATATCAAAATTTTACAAAGGTGTCTTATCTTTTGTTTTTTAACACAGTTAGAGGACCATAGGAAAACCAGGCAGTACTGTATAGCCATTTCGTCCTAGTTTGGGACTCTTCATCAGTATGCATAAAACCAAGGTTCGAACCAGGACTTTCCGATTACAAACAGAGCTCTTCGACTATTCAGCCACTGGGACCCCGTCCTGATCTCGAATCCCGGTAGGTGGGTACTACTGAAGGGTCACGAACTGGGACGAAACAGCCGTCCAGTACTCACTGGTTTTCCAATGATTTTCAATCTGACGTCAGCTCATAAGCAGACATCTGTCAACCAATACTTGACAGCTGGAATTTCTTCATTGCACAAAAATACGCCCTGCGGTCACTTTTATCCTCACAGCACACATAATCACAATGACTGAATACCAGTCTGTTGAAGGATCGAACAATGAACAACATAAAACAACCTGGATCAATTATTTAAAAAAAACAAGATAGCCGTCCAGCATAAAAGGTGCATTTTTCTTTGCATAAGAGAAGTGTGCACGCACGACAGAAAGAAACCTATGATAATAATAATAATAATAATTGACCAACAAACACAAACTAGCACAGATTAACACCTCACACACACCGATCACAAACACACATCGATCAAAATGTGCACACAGACTTTCTCTTTTTGCATAATAATGTGCATTCATAGTGAAATCAATCAAAGAAAATCATTTGAACATCTAATATTCACACACACACACCACCCTCATTGAGGTAAGCAGAGAGAGCATACACCCAGAAAACAAAGGCTACACACACACACATGTGCATGCGTTGCGTAGCCAGTAGTTGAAGCAGTACACGAACCATATTAACTGATCTTGCATAGTTTTGATAGTCCCATGGTAGCGATTTCAATTTATTCCATTTAACAGCATTTCTTCGATATGTGAATGGTGATATTGGAAGATTAACTTCAGTTTTCCACATTCTTTTGATATTACTGTCAGTATTATTATTATTGGGATTGACAGATGCGTTCAGTGTTGCAGATTCATCCAGTGGTATTGGGACAACAGTAACTTTGAAAGGATTACTACTAATACTACTACTAGTAGTACTATTTGCTACTTTGTTACTGTCATCATTACAAGTTGTCCGGATTGTTGCACTTGACTTTTTCCCGGCTAATTGATCCGACTGTCCGCCTTCAACAGAAGACTTGTACATTGATGAAAATGTAAACAATGAACCGGATGTTCTTTGACTAACATGTGCAATAGTAGCTCGACGTTTTACTTTTGGACGAAGTTTTACTTCGGGAATAGGCATTGTTAATGTTGTTGTTGGTGGTGGTGGCGGTGGTGTTTCTTGTTGTAATGCATTATGATGCTTCAGAGAACGTGAACGAGCTATGGCTACCACAGACAAACCACGCATTCTCCCCTCCTCCTTCTAAGGTTTTAATGTGAATTACATTGTTTTAAAAAAAGACTAATTTTGAATATTTTCATCAAACAATATGCAGATGTGTAATGTACAGAATATTATCATCAAATTATAAATAACAGGAATACATAGAAAATGTTAGAATTGCTTTTAAAGATGATAATAAATAAACGCCGAAATACTTAATCGAATATATTCCATTCTCTCTGTTTGCCTGATGTAATTGTGCTACTGAAGATAACTTTTTTTCTCCTTCACGTTCCCAGTGGAACATAGGGGCTTCAAGCTAGTGGCTTGAAGTTTCTGTAGCACTGGTGTTTATTTTTACAGGATGGGGTAGCTAGCCTCATGCTTTAACCTTTCCTCTTTACCAGCATTATTTCTGGCTTAGCGAGGTAAAGGAATGCGTCTGTGGCCGGGTATCGAACCCCGGACCGTGTGCATGGTCGGCGAGCGTCCTAACCGCTGTGCCACCGACGCACATACATACACGTGTAAATTTGTAAACACGGTCAAAGCTAACAAAAGACGGGTGAGTACCTGTCGACTTTTGACTGTACCAAAGAGCATGTTGTCCAGTAAGCTGGAACCAATTAAGCCAGAACTTATCTTGCAGCTAAGTGTGTTCCCGTTTATCGAACAACCTGATCTTTGGTGCAATCAAAGGTAGGCAGACATAGCCTTCTTGTATCAGCTCTCATAGTGTGTACAAATTTACTTGTATCTGTATTAGCAATTACATTAGAAGAACGTAAAGAAGGGGTACACCTTTGATTATCTGAACATTTACCAAAAGGTCTACGACTGTGTCAAGGGAATAGACGCTTTCAATAGTGCCATTGCCAGGCATCTCGCTGATACCAGTCAATTGCTATCAAACGCTTGAAATCCAATTTATGTGTGTTCAGTAAGAAGCAATTATTAGTCTTTTCTTGCACTGGTAGTTCAATGGTCATTACTCTATCTTTTACTTGATTACGCAATCACTTGACTTCAACCTCTCTCTCCTTCTGTTATGCAATATTATTTTGTTATGATTTGAGATGAAATCACTGCATTGGCATGCAAATTGTTAGTTACTCATCATCTTAACCACTTGGTGTCCTTATTACGTAACTCTTTTGCTTATTGTATCCAAGCATTTATTATTATTTGAAACTTGGATCTTCTGTGCATAAAGTTATATCAGTGTAATTTGTGAGCAATGATTATTAACTTTTGGGGGTCTCCTGTTAACTGACATCATATTCCATTTGTCACCAGCTGTAGGCAGATGATGAGAAGCCGACGAAATAAACGACAGTACCACCACCTTATTCTACACAAACCATTGCGCCTACTTTATACGATTCCATGAAAGGAAATAGCAGTATGAAGTCTAAGGGAAAAAAACTGTAGATATTATGATAATTGCTCTGAAATGAGACAGAAGGAGGATAATTTATTATATCAAAGATCAACTATTGTGTGTGGAATTGTCACATAATACCAAAAATAACTTCTCACATAGGCGGCTTCCGATAAATTTAGAACACATGCTACCTAATTAAGTACTCAACAACGAGCGGAAATCTTATCACAATAAGTGAACACTAAGTAACGAAAAACTCTGAGAATTGAATCATATTGATCGAATGAAAAACGAAATTGGACGGTAGATTTAAACATCGAACAACTGTCGGTGTACTTCTAAATGATTCATCCGCCCCATCAAATTGAAGCAATTCAAACCACCCGTAACAATTTTGGTCAGCTATCTGGATGAACTAATAAGTACAGCATAAAAAATTACACAATTTCAAAAGGGAATATCTTATCAAGGTTTCCTTGGAAGCTCAAACGAATCGGATCAAAATATGTGACTTGTATAACACAACAAATGACAGTCGAGAAAAAGAAAACAAGCCGAGTAGTAGAATAATACCTACACTATTGATTGACGTAAGTAGTTAGAACCTACACAAGTCACATACACGCACACACACACACAGCTGAATCATCAATCCGAACTGATTTATCACGGATACACAGTTAGTGAGATCGGTTCAAATATATGTCATTTTACAGGATTTCATCATGAGCAGGTCGGGTGTGAGGACAAATACTCGCCGAAGACATTGGCTAGGGGTCGCGCTATGTCGTGATTTGACAGAGGTTAAAGTTCAAGGACCATTGGATCGGGTCTCAGTGGCTCAATGTTCTACGAGCTCGCCTTGTGACCTGAGTTCGAACCCCAGTGGGTGCGTACTTCTGAAGAGTCCCAAACTAGGGCGAAACAGCTGTCCAGTACTCCCAGGTTTTCCAATGGTTCTCTAACCAATGTCAGCTCATGACGAAATCCTGTGACCAATCAAATACCTACAAACCAACACTTGAATATGCCAGTTTAATCTATGCACTTAAAGGTGTGCACTAAAAAGTGTTCACTAAAGTTTCACACATACTACTGAAGTAATATCTCGAAGAATGATGACGCTTAAAAACTGTGCCTTTTCAAACACTTGTCTTTACTCTTTTTAAAGGCAGTGTTACTTCTTAAGCTATTATCATGCATGCTCAATGAAATAACACAAAATACTCACAAGACATTTACGATTAGATAATAATTCTCTGATTGGGAAAATGTCTCAAAAACTGAATGATGAGAAACAGTAAGTTGTAGGATCAGTCCAATATGGTAGTTGGACCAAATGATGTTGACTACCTGATGACCACCACAACATTAGGCTGAATAAAGTGTGCAGCTTTTTCGCCATTAGTCAGAGAATTATCAAAAACCATGCAACACTGGAGAGCTATCTAGTCCTAGTTTGGGACTCTACAGAACTCAGCATCCATAAGCCTACCACCAGAGATTAAACAAAGATCCTTCAAGTCACAGGGTCAACCTTTTAGGTAAGATCTTGATTTTTCTGATTCATTCTATGTGAATAGTTAGGTACACTCATTGATCGGTTGTCGGAGTCGAACTGGAAACCAACTGGTACCCGGTCTCTTTTTCGATATTAGAATACATGCTTCCCATTTCTCGAATTTCTCATTCTATTAGATCAAGCACCTAGAAATGTTACTCAACAACCACTTTCAACTCCAAGCAGTTGACAATGAGACAAACCTTATTGTGTGAGGACTAGTGATAAAGCCTGTTTGCCCAAGCCACGGCGGTAGATGGGGCGTGGTTCGATTTTGTGACCTACACTGGTTGGAAGTCGAGAGATTAGACCGGTGAACCACAGATCCACTTAAACACCATCAGGCCAGGGCTCATGCATGTAGCACACAACCACTGGGTCGCATACTGTCCCATCCCTTTTATCACGGGTACTACCACGCTACAGAATAACACATGTTATTTATCGCATACTGCGGGAACCTGTAGGTGTTTTGGCTAAGGCCTCCCTTTCTTTCTTTTTTGTGTTAAACTGTGTCGTCTGCAGACAACATCTAGTAGTCCTGTGATAAAAACAAACCAACCTCCGAATACATTTCATAATGACAGTGATGAAACGATACCACCTTATAACAAACAATACAGCAAACAAAAGTGACATTTCAACTATTCACAGGATTAACACTAATCCATGAGCATACTTAAATGAATGAATGAATGAGTGGTAATCACTATTTATTAAAGATATTAACTATCAATTTATCAAAAACAATGAACAGATTATATAAGCTGACTTGTTAATATGCACACAATCATGAAACAGTCCAGAAAAACTCAGGCGGTGTTTATGAAATAGGATATTATCAATTCATCCGCCCAACAAAAAGACTAGCTACCATCCTCGAATGTATTAGCAAAATGTATTATACTCAACAATAGGGAGTAGAAACTACTCTGGATGAATCCCTATCAGTTAGTAAAATATGATTCTCACCAATCAATTCAATACTGGTTATAGTGAGTGCACAAGTTAGCAGAAAAGACAGAGAAGTGACAGGAGTTCAAGTGAAATTAGAAAAGACAAAGGCGATGGATGAAGTTACCTAACCAACAGGCGAAATCCAAAGGGAAGTCATCACTTCCACTTGACAGACCTAGGCAGCATCGTTTCAACTGCAAAGCAGGGGCGCACAGATGAAGATACCGTAGCCATCAAGGACAGGAAAAGTAAGGCAGATCTTCATCACTACTTTCTAAACACAAGTAGGGAAATCCACTACACACTTAACATAAGCAATACGATCCGGATCTGATCAACACTGATTTGAAACCAGTGCCTTTATATGGTTCAGGTACTTGGAACGCGCATCACGAAAAGTATTTTCAACAGGCTGCTGTAGGCTTTCATTAGCAGCAGTGGCCTTCGCTATCTCAATAATGAAAAAATAAAAAGGCCGGTCATCTTTGATCATAGGTGTCAGCGTTCTCTCTTCCGTATTAGGTGGTGGTGTAATACGGTGAACAGTATTGAGGTTAGACTTCAGTTGAGTGGTAGGTTAGGAGGGGAAAACAGATAGACGAGATTGTGAAGTTACATCGCCTTTCTCGACGGACAATAATAGCTGAATGACATAGGGTCAGGCTGGAAAAGGCGATCCAGTGATGATCCAACCAAAACACGGCTTTATTAGTCAATGAAATCTACAACAGTTGGTTTAAACCAGCTGGCAGGTAGGGAGGTGCAGACTTCCTGACTGGTTGGAGTCCTCAGGACGGTAAACACCAATGGCTGCTGGAGACAATTGGTGATATGGCTCAATGGCGCAGATGCATCCAATCCTTGTGACTTATAATACTCAATAAAACTATGTTGTTCTTCCATATTACTATTCTTTTTGCCTCATATCTCTGTTTACTGTCTCTATTTAGCATTTCTTTTTACTTTCTTCTCTTGCTTTTTGTGCTAAGTGAAGTGTGGCGACTTGAACTGCAGCACATCTGTGCAAAGTTCTATGTTGAAACCAGTCAGTCAGTTAATAATGAAGATCGAATGGCCTGGCGGGATAAGATAAGTAATAAGGAACTCAGGTACACTGTGAACCAACCAACTGACGATGGACTGGACATATACTGAAAAGACCGTTTAGTGACACAATACGCGCCAGACAGTCTCTCAAGTGCAACCCGAATGTGTAAACGAAGAGTTTGGCGTAGGTACAAAGGTGACACATGATGCAGATCATGTGCGCAGGAAAGGAAAGCTTTTTTTTGGTGTGGTTGTGTTCTCTGAGCTGGATAGTTTGGTTGCGAAGCTTTCATTGCTCTACTGAGCAACATCTTCAGCGCATACTTCACAAAGGAAAGCTTACAAGTAATGAATTATGCAGTCAGCTAAAAGAGACTCCAGAGAACAGGGTAAAAGTAGAGATGCCAAGCTGAAGCCCTATATGTTCAACTCGGAACCCACGGGGATAACTGCTGAGTAAAAGGCCGACTTTTACTTAACAAACCTTATACAATAAGAGATAAGAGATATGACAGGCAAAATAAATAGCAACAGAAGAACACTTACCACCGTCCCATCTGATGAAGTGACCTTTGACGGAGTTTCAGTTTCATGTCGATCATCTGAATTCGCCCGACTAAGACCGACACCACTGTCACCACCACCAGTGCCAGTGCTGCCATGTTTCACATCTTTACTAGATGATGACGACTGATCATCTGTACTACTATTAGTATTATTATTAGTAGTATTATTACTATTATTCTCTTCATCTTCTTCATATTCCTCTTCAACAGGGATAGATAGTTTTGTTGAATCTGGTAGTATAAGTGCACCTATCTCATTGTCATCAATTTCATCGATCTATAGGAGGGGAGAGGAAAGAGAAGGATACATTAAATGGGAAAAACAATAAGTGATTCATTCGAAGTGCACATTGGTAAGTATCTCGGGTGGATGATTTTGATTTGGCGTTACCTTCTTTCTCTGAGCTAGATATCGGTTTTTTAGGGATTTTTGTTGGATTGCATGGAGAATTTCATCACCATGATGAAATCAAAACCAATACATGAAAATTGATCTGATGCTCACTAGCGACTGGCCCTATTCAGGCAGTGACCTGCGGTTCTAGTGGGAAGCCGTGACCAGTATGGTACAGAAGGTTGAAGGTGAGGCAGTAATTCATCGAAGAAGACATTGGCTAGTGGTCGCGCTATGTCGTGAATTAGCAGAAGTTAGAGTTCATGGGTTGGCCATTGGATCGGGTCCCAGTGGCTTAATGGTCTACGAGCTCGCCTTGTAACCAGAAGGTCCAGGGTTCGAACCCAGGTGGTTGTGTACCTATGAAGAGTCCCAAACTAGGACGGACGAAACAGCTGTCGAACACTCCCAGGTTTTCCAGTGGTTCTCTAACTGATGTCAGCTCATAATTAAATCCTCCATGTAGACATTTTAACAGTGGAAACACCAACCAAATGTACCCAAGAATTCCTGGGAGCCTGGAATGAATCAGACTATGAATCAGCGATCAATAGACACGTTAATTACAAATCAAATTTATCAATTATAACAATACAGAATAAAACGCGTAACGAAAATGTCAAATTCCACAGTCAATAAAAAAACGACCAGCACGGATGCAATTTAACAACCAATCACAACGACAAAAGTTGTCAAGAGATACAATTATATACTTGCAATGAAGACTTTGTCTCAAAGGACAATACTGAAGCTATACAATTATATCAACCAGTTCACAGAGTACAGCCAAATCAAAAACAAAATACTGATATGCTTATAAAGCTGAAGTACTAAAACATCTTACTTTTTTTCAAGATAACTTATAAAGAGTCCGATCAATTCCTAATTTGCCTTAAAACTAGCATATTCTCAAACAGACACCGATATTTGCATTCTTTAGACTATAAGGGATATCATCTACAGCTACCTATCGATTAGTAAAGATCTTAGTGAAGTGACAGCTTATTGGCTCAAGATATCAGTTTTTAGCCAATAGGGGCACAGGTTGATTGGTCTCGAACAACCTACTTGTACTTTAACAACGGGATACTATCGTCAAACCTGACAATCTGAATGTGGTTCGTAGTCTGCTATTACAGCTTACTTATCCAGACTATGAACCACACTTGCTGTGTGAGTGCTGACGATAAACACACACACTCTATGCAGAAGTAGGTGGAAAGAGGACTCGAACTCGCGGTTCACAGACTACCAGTCGAGTGGTTAAGCTAATTAACCGCCTCTCTCCATATTCACATAATGAATGATACAGTCACTCTTGGAAGACAAGACAAGAACACGGCATACGGTGTCATCCTGTGGTGCGACCACACTCCAGAGGATGAGATTCTTAGCCTGCTCTACAAACAAACATCTATTCTAGGCAATTGAACTCAGATAAGTAATTAAGATTCTAGGGAGGCTAGGACTTAGGGAAGCTATATATCAATGGATAGCTCTCGACGAAATCTACCCATTGGTACCGGTTTCACACCTTATAGCTTCTCCTCAGCCGAATAGGGAATTTTTTCAAAGGCTACAGGGGAAACCTGTTTCTAGGCCTAGAGTTCATGCCGCTGGCTGTTCTCTTGACATCTTTTAGCTCCGCGACCTCAGGTTGTATGCCGTTGTGTATGTAGCTAGGGGGCATTACCAACCATAGGGCAGCAGGGGGGCAGAGACTGATAGGCAGGAAAACCCTCGTATTCCTCTTAGAAATAGCTTTTACCCTCTGATTTATATACCATTGGATTCCTCTCGACGAGACGAACCAATTGGTACCTGTCTCGTCCCTGTAGGACTTACGGTTGCGGGATATGGATTTTTACAGTTTTGCAGGTTTTCCCCATTGTGCCTTTGTATAGTAATATACAGGGTATTTTTAGCCAATGAGAATTAAGCTTTTGTTTATTAGGCGTAGTTAGGCACTTTGTTTTAATTGATGATGCGCGCGAAGGCGCAGCTGAAATTGTGGCATGGCGTGGGACGGATGGCTGGTTTTCGGCGGCCAGCCCCTGTCACTTGGAGGCATATGATGGCTTCCAAGCCTCATCAATGGAATTATTTGGTAAGTTTATTTTATTTTTTTTATATTATTTTTATTAGTAGTTTTCATGTTTAGGCTAGGTTTTAGCTTCATGTTTACTATGTTGGGGCATCTAGGGACCATACGGTCATAGTTTGTTTAGGGATGCTCTGGCATAGGAAAGCTATATATCAATCGATAGCTCTCGACGAGATCTATCCTTTGACATTGGTTTCGACCCTTGTAGCCTCTCCTCAGCCTTCCTCAGGATCTTTGATATCTGGGCTTCCGCCCTCTGGGGTTATGCTGCCAAAATTTTTCCAGGGAGGCTAGGACTTAGGGAAGCTATATATCAATGGATAGCTCTCGACGAAATCTACCCATTGGTACCGGTTTCACACCTTATAGCTTCTCCTCAGCCGAATAGGGAATTTTTTCAAAGGCTACAGGGGAAACCTGTTTCTAGGCCTAGAGTTCATGCCGCTGGCTGTTCTCTTGACATCTTTTAGCTCCGCGACCTCAGGTTGTATGCCGTTGTGTATGTAGCTAGGGGGCATTACCAACCATAGGGCAGCAGGGGGGCAGAGACTGCTAGGCAGGAAAACCCTCGTATTCTTCTTAGGAATAGCTTTTACCCTCTGATTTATATACCATTGGATTCCTCTCGACGAGACGAACCAATTGGTACCTGTCTCGTCCCTGTAGGACTTACGGTTGCGGAGCTATGCTTCTTTAATTTCAGGATGTATTCTGCTATTTTAGAGTTTCTTAGGATGTACATGCTCTTTCATTTCATCCACGATGTTATCGACAACGGGGAGCTGAAAATGAAGCCGAGGCTGACCGGCAGCTTAACCGGACTTCTACTGATATGACGGTGGCGACGGTATCAGTAGGAGATAACTTGGGTCGCCACACCGTTCCTAGCGTAGCTCCGTTGATAGTAGCAACGGGCATCAACCAAATTTGTCAAACCTCACAACCTACTGATACATTGGCGACGGTATCAGTGGGGGCTGGACTTAGTCGTCAACAATCCAACCCGATGAACCAAACGAATCCAAGAAATATCATGCCGGATCGGCCGTGGCCCGGATTAACAACGACCGCGCTTTCTGCTGCCGTGTCACAGGGCAGAAGTGATAAGTACGCTACTGAGACACACCAGGCCGTGTGTGACCGGCCTCAAGCAGATGTCCCCTGGGCTCTGCGGTCACGCAACACTAACCTTTCTTCTATTTCAGGTACCCAAAGACTAAACTCAGGCGTGAGGCCAGCAACCCCACCCTGTAAACAAACCTGCTACAGAAACTTCAGCGTGAACAGTCTCCTTGCGTCAAAAGAAAAAGTCTGTGTGGGGACATGGAATGTCCGCACCATGTACGAGACTAGCAAAGCTGCCCAGATCGCAAGCGAAATGAGGAGATACGGACTACAAGTATTGGGGATCTGCGAAAGCAGATGGAACGGATACGGACTCACCAAATTGTCAACAGGTGAGTCAGTGATTTACTCCGGTCACCCAGAAGACAACCACACACACACCGAGGGCGTGGCTATAATGATGTCACCAACGGCAACCAAGGCTCTGATACAATGGGAGGCGATCTCACCCAGGATAATAACCGCCAGATTCAACTCCAAAGGAAGGAAAGTGTCAATTATACAATGCTATGCACCGACCAACAACGCAGACCTCGAAAAGAAAGAAGAATTCTACAGACAACTGCAGGCAGCAATAGACAATACTCCAGCCGGTGACATCAAAATACTAATGGGAGACATGAACGCCAAACTGGGACCAGACAACACAGGAAGGGAACTCATCATGGGTAAAGAAGCTCTGGGAGAGATGAATGAAAATGGAGAACTCTTCGCCGACTTCTGCGCCTTCAATGAACTAGTGATTGGTGGCAGCGTATACAAACACAAGGATATTCACAAGGCTACATGGGTGTCACCAGATGGGCGAACCAAAAACCAAATTGACTTCATCACAATCTCGAGGAAGTGGCGGCGCAGCCTACTGGACACAAAAGCAAGAAGAGGAGCAGACGTTGGCTCAGACCACTACCTCGTACAAGGAACAATCCAACTCAAATTAAAGGCTTTCAGAGAAACAGGAGCTGCAGATAGACCACAAGCCAAGTTCAACACTCAAAAACTAAAGGACCAGGATACAAAGGATATCTTTACTGCAAGTATAAAGGACAAAGCCGAGACACAAATCAACACTGGTGAAGAGGTCAGCGTCGAAAAACACTGGAACAACCTGAAAACAGTATGGAGCGAAACCTGCATGGAAGTTCTGGGCAGAAAGAAGAGACAGGACAAACCGTGGCTCACTACGGACACTTGGAGGCTAATAGAGGAGAGAAGGATGGTGAAACAAAAAATTCTGCAGTGCACCGACGAGCAACAGAAACAGGAGTTGAATGTAAGCTACAATACACTGAACAAAGGAGTAAAGAAGAGTGCCAGAGAAGACAAAAGAAAGTATTATGAAGCCATGGCCAATGAAGCAGAACAAGCTGCAGGCAAAGGAGACCTCGCAACACTTCACCAAACAACTAGGTACCTTTCAGGCAAAAATTCGTCACAAATTAAGCCAGTGAAGGATGAAAATGGAAAGTCAATCACCAAAGAAGTGGAGCAAAGGAAACACTGGGCTGAACACTTCAAAAGACTACTAAACCGACCGCCACCTACAACGCGCCCAACAATACCAACAACGGAAGCAGAATTACCAGTGAACATCAACCCCCCGACGAAATCAGAAGTCCTGAAGGCAATCAAGATGCTGAAAGCTGGGAAAGCA